TTGGGTAATTTCAAGTGCTAATCTCTTTAGTTTCTGGGAAAATTAGGTAGGGAAGTGAAAAGGGGGAAAAATCATTGATTTCTGTTTTTTTTGGTTGTGTAATAATTTTCACAGAGGATTCGAAGCTCTGATATGTAAGATATATCATTGATTACATAGGAATCTGACATTCTAAAACTACTGTCTTTGTGGGGTTAGTTTTTGTCGAAGAACAAAAGAGATGTCTCAGACTAACTGGGAAGCTGATAAAATGTGAGTTTTTTTCTTCTCCATTTTACTGAGTTTTTGATTTTCCTCACTGATATTGTGCTTGCTTGCTTGCTACTGTTGGGGTTTAAGATTCTGTGTGTTTTGAAGTGATTTTTAGGTTTTGCTTGTTTGTTTTTAGGGTTCGGATTATGTAAATGCAGTGTTTTTTTTTTGTCCCCTGCTACAGTTTTGATTCTAGGGTTTTGTGTTTCCTCTTAGAGAGTCGTTTAGTTGGAAAGCTTATATTTGCATATTCTTGATCTGGATTTTGCTGATTTTCTAGGTTAGGTTATTGTTTACCTTTCAATTTTTTCGCTTTTGTTTTAGCTTTTTTCTGCTTTGACATTCTTTCTTAGTTTTGCCGTTAAGGGGGGTTTGTGTTACTAGTTTGTGGATTTTTCTAGTTTCTATTCTCAGAAAAGCATTCTTGCTTAGGTTTTGTGGTTGTGGGTACTTTTGAGTTTGGTAAGTTTTTGCATGTTTTGGCCAAAGTTTAGTTCTTTGTGTTTGTCAGTCACTTTCAAGGGGAACTTAAAAATTTCTGGATATTTTGGGTTATCCAATTCTGGTTGACTCTTGTGTTATCAGGTTTCATGTGTTACTGTTCCAGTTTTACTCTTCTTTTTGGTATTGTTAGTGTGACTTTAAAAGGCTTAATCTTTGCTAGTTTCGTGGTTGGAACATATAACACTTTTTGGTGTTTCTTTTATTAGATGGATGGTTTGTTTCTGGGACTTTGTTAAGTTTGATGTTATGTTACTCTTTGGAAAGTGCTCTTTGTTTGATTTTTTTTCAGACAGTTCTTATGTCGAATCTTTGATGTGTTTTATATTCTTATACATGTGGGTGTTGTTTACATTGCTGCTCTAAATATTTCCTTGGGATGTTACAGGTTGGATGTCTATATCCATGATTATCTGGTTAAAAGAGATTTAAAAGCTACAGCTCAGGCTTTCCAAGCTGAAGGAAAAGTGTCATCCGATCCAGTCGGTAAGAAATCACAATCTTCTTAACCTTTTTTTACTACGATTCTGATAATGATTCTTCGTTCTGCACTAATGAGCTCTGCATTCTTCTTGCGTTGTTTTGTAGCTATTGATGCACCTGGCGGATTTTTGTTTGAGTGGTGGTCTGTCTTCTGGGATATATTTATTGCTAGGACTAATGAGAAGCATTCCGAGGTTGCTGCATCATACATTGAGGTCTCTTTCGTTGCTTACCCGCACCACTAGTGATTCTATATCTGTGCAAAGCTTCAATATTCTCTCTAGTTATTCGCTTACAGTTGAACTGTGTTCTCTCTTGTCCCTTGTGTTTGAAGACAAGCTTTAGAAGATGTATATGTATTATCAGAATTGTTTTCTCCAATTAATAGGCTTTGGATGATTGACTAGAATGGCGGATTTCTGTTTTGTTTTGGTTAAGTTTGTAAAATTTAAAATTGTGTGTGCGTGTGTGTTTTATAGACACAGATGATTAAAGCCAGAGAACAGCAATTGCAGCAGTCTCAACACCCACAGGTCTCA